GGCTTGCCTTGGGCACCAAATGTACTCGGGCTGCCACTGTAAAAGGTGGTGTTTTGGGCCAAATTAAGCTCTGGCAAAAGTTCAGTCAGGAAGACAATACTTTTAAGGCTGTAACCTTTCTCACCCTGCAATTCACTCCTTGCACGTATTCTCACCCATTATCTCTAGGTGTCATTGTCTGGGTCTGTCAGTTGAGTCATCAGCTGTTTTCATCTGATTCGCAAATAACCAATAGCATAGCAACACACCTTCTCTGTTGGCTTATCACCTTACTGCTCCTCATTTTAGATAAAGTTCTTTCTCTGCTGTAGTTCTTTCTTGCTGCAGTCCTGCGCACCCTCCACCTCTCCATCACCACCCAGTACTGATTCATCAGCCTCATCAGCCTCAGCAGCCTCAGAGTCATCATCCACCACCTCCACCAGTGTCTGGACTTCATGGGGGGAATTTATCCTGCTGCTGCTGCTGCTCAGATGTCCTTCAATCACAAAAAATATCCCTCTGGTGTCAAAGCTCCAAAGACTTCTGTTAAATCTTAATCAGCACAAATCATCTGTTACTCTGTACACTCATATTCTGTATTAGCTATCATCTTAACCTCATTCTTCCTACTTTCCTGATTGAAATGCTACCACAACTAACTGCAAATGAGTTGTACCGACATCTACAGACCAGACTTATTTCCTTGTGATGACCGATTCACTTTTTCCCAATAGTTCAAGCTCATAGGTATCAGGTAAAGCCTGCAGTGTACTAGAAACAAAACTTAAGTTGGTGTGTTCTCATGGGCAGTGGACTTTGAAGTGTGAGTAGGCTTGCAATCTCGTTCATGTGATTAGTGGTGCTTTTAACATGAGGTTTTAAGGGGCATGTTTCTGGTTTATCTTTAGTTTAATTACACCTTTCTTATCTTTTTTTTGCACCTTAGGTAGGTGGATGAGCAAGATGAATCAGCTGCAGAAAACTTAGAGAGAAATCCATCCACTGACTCTAGTCCCTGAATGTGCTTATACTTTTTTTTCCACATTAATTTACTCCATGCCAAAATTATTACTGTAGATTAAAAACATACGCTGTTAGAGACAGAGGATGCTGTGCTGATGAGTGAGGTTTAGTATTTTGACTGCTTGTGATTTTTGCTTCATGATCCTTTTTTGTCAGTTTTGCACATGTACAGTAAAAGGGGAACCTCTCTGAAGGGAAACCACTGTATCTGAGGTAATTTTACAGTTTAAATTCACTATGTTGAAACAATAACACTGAACAGTTCACTGCTGTGTAGTTTTAAAGTACAAGACAAAGTGAATACACCATATCCTTTGAATCTAAAGCATTATTCAGCACTGGGAAGCAGAGCTCAAAATGACTAAGCTTAAAGTAACAGACATGAAAAATAACATTCCTGTCTTCTGAAATATATTTCCCCATGTGTACTATAAGCAACACTCCCCAAATGATATCAGTGCCAACAAGCAGAGCTGTAAAAAGGATCCTTAAGATACTGCTCTTAAAAAGATGGCATCTAAGAGCTGATAAGAGCTACAAGCATTGGGATGGATCAATTGTGCAACAGGAAGAGCACTCAGTCATGGGTACTGTTTAATTAATGATGGGGGATAGAGATAGGCTGTTAGCTCCATATTGTCAGTCAAACACTCACAGCACAGGGTGGCAATATGAGCTATGTAACTGATACACGAAACAGAAGAAACTAATCCATACTCTCCAGTCTAGTACCATTAATGTTTGGTTAAAAGGGCTGCAGCATGACACACAAACACTTTTTCCTTTCTTCTGAATGCACAAGACCAAAGACGATTAATAAATACATAAAGATGAAACATGAAAATTGCTTTAGTTCTGAGTTGTGAGGAAAATGTAAAAGAAGCAAAAGCATATGTTGTCCACCCTTGTTTAATTTATTTGACAGAACACATCCCACCTTTTATGCTTGACGTTGTTTAAAATGTAAATTTACAGTGCAAACAAGAAATCCAACAGATGGAAATAATGATAACAATTTTTCTCTCCTCCATTATTTATTCCTTTTTGTTTTTTGTTGTTGTTTTTTTGTATGTGTTCATATTCATCAGAGTCTGGTGCTTCACCCTTTCCTTTCTATAACATTACTCATTGTTCTTCTGTTGATAGTTTCAAAATGAAGATAGGATTAGATAAGAGTGTGCCAAATGGAACAACAAAGGAGAAAAAAAAAGAGACAAAACCAATCAACTGCAGCTTCAAACAAAAGTCCTTTCCATCAAAGAACTCTCCCAATCTGATCCAATCTGATTTTGAAGCTCAATGAGGTAGTAAAGTGGCCTATTGATTGTTGAGGCCTGCATGAATCTACAGCATATTATGAACATCAGCAGACACTTGTCCTGTCAAAAAATCCTCATGCAAGGTATTAACCTCGACCTGTCACCATGAGGTTGATAAAAGTCAGTTAATGGTAAATGATCATGATAATGTGACAGGAAACATGGACAGGACACATGCTGATTGGAGATAGGTCATGTTTACTGCCCTCCAGTGGTCACACTTTGTAATTACATCTTTGTATATGCAGAAAGTTTTATTTTAAGAGAGTTTATGTCACAATTTGGATGTTTTTACTGAAAGAATTATGCATGTATTAGGAGGGTCTAATTTATATAAGTCTGCCTTGGTGCTAGGAGCCAGAGGACATTAGTGCAGACAAGCATGACAAGGCCGACAAGGGCAAATGTGCTACAAAAGCCAAAAACATTTTCATAAGGAGGAACGTGTGAAAGATGCAAATGCAGAAACAATGCAAAGTCAAAAACAAATTAACCTCCCCAAAACAAATTCAACAAAAAAATGCTTCATATCTGCTCAACACAGCGCAAGTTCTCCAGGCCTCTAGGGGGAGCTACAAGAACCTGCTGCTCTTTTATCTATTGCAAAAGACTTAAGCCAAAAGTAAAATAGAATAGGCTCCTTTTTGTGTCACCCAGGCCCCCAGGAAAGTAGCTCAGCCTCGCAGCCAATTCTTCCCAGTGGCCCCTTGCAGTACTGCAGAAGAAAAAAACCCTGGCAGGCCAAAAAGCATTTTCCCCATGGACCACCATTATAAAAGAGACGTAAATCTATTAACACAACACCTCAAATCAATCAATCAATCAATCAATTTTTATTTATAAAGCACTTTTCATACAAAAATGTAAACAAGGTCAGTTATGAATCTTTCAATTTTAATTTCTGATTCATGGAGATGTTATATTTGTAAAACTTTCCCTTGGCAGAGAAAAACAATATAAAAAACAAACAAACTGTGATGTCATCACAATGTACAGTCTATGAGCCAAGCAGGAACCCATGGGCTGGGCCAGCGGGAGAAACACTGCTGTGCATATTCAGAGGGCCACAGAAGTGAACCTCGAAGCTAGAAATCTTTTTTGGCGTATACGCCAGGATCTTGGGGTCCGGTATCTAAGTATAAAATCTATGGTGTGTTGGAGCTGCTGTCGCAAAGACAACTGGATAGCTTTCCGATCTCCTCGGAGCTTAGCAATGAGCAAAAAAACATGACACAGTGCATTTTGTTTTCTGCAGTTACTCCTGTTGTTCCACCATTTCGACTAGTGGGGATAGTAACTATAAAGAACTTGGGTTGATACTCCTTGGTAACTGGAGATAGCTACTGATAACAACCACCAAAAACAGAAGCACTCTTCTCTTTCTGTTTTGATTGTGTAGTGCTTGAAGCACTTCCTTTGTGCCGTAAATCCAGCCTTGATTTTACCGGGATATCGCATCATAGGTGTGTAAAGAGAACTGGATACAGTGTTGGAGGCGAAACCCTGTTCATTCCTATTAAAGCTGCTCTGTAGTGTATAAAGTCAATGAAAGTTTGACTTCCAGGCATAAAATTACCTGGATCTTCTGCGCCCATAGAGGAAGCACACTGGTGTTTCCACTTACCCCACCTCTTGTAGGACATGATGATTTAAGTAAAAAAAAAAATACATTGCTGATTTAGACATCAATTTCACAATGCAAGCCCATTGGAAAAAATCTTTTTGGGCCCATGTGATGGACCTGTTAGTTGCAGTTACACGGTTTGGCCAATATGTCAAATTGGCTCCAAATCCCAGCACCATTCCTAAGGGCTTGGATCGTTCCTGTAGGTGTAGGTGAGGCTTATGGGGAACTAATCTTAGTGCAGACAGTGTTGGGAAGTAACTACTTAGGCTACCTGTAACTAGTTACATGCAATTAAATTACAAAATAAATTTAATTGTAATCAGTTATTGGGGGGGAAAATTAATTAATTTACAGTAACTAATCAAAATGTTGGTGATTACAAAGGGGTTACACCTGAATATATCCATTTGGGGAAAAAGTGTATGTGTAGAGTGTAACATGTATTCTGTTACTTTGAATGCCTTCTTTTTGCAAAGCCTATTATTGGATATTTTTCAGCTTCACTGCCAAGTTTAAAACATTTGTCAAAAAAGTAATCAAGCAAGTTACATCCCTTTCAGTATGTAGTTGAAATAGGTACATGACTTTTTAAATTTTAAGAAAGTAACTAGTATTTTGTAGCCTTAAGTAACCTTCCCAACAGTGAATGCAGATGGTGCCAATGTTATGTTGCCTTTACATTGAGTAGTCAACATTTACCTCATAATTATAAGTCAAAACAAAAATGTCTATTTCCACTTTAACATTAGCTAAATTACTGATTAATAAATAATAATAATAAAAAAGGTGCTAAAATTAGGAAGACATCGACAGAGGAAGCTCTGCAGATGAAGCAATTAATAAAATGAAAATTAAAAAAACAAAATTGGTTTCCTAATCCAACCAGCCTTAATGTGTGCATCTGTTAGCAGACATAGGGAGCACACATCCATGCTCATATTTGCACACAGCACACTCATCTGTTGTTTTTACTCCCTTCATTTAAACAACTTTCCCATTTCCACATTGGCCACAACCTGCAAACACACTAACTCCCAGATATTGCCCAGGATAAGCATGACGCTACGCAGTGGCACAAACTGATGCGATGCCACTCCTTATAACTAACTGAGGGCCACCTTTTTTTTCCTCCTCAGCACCAGTGAGACGGGATGCTGCGCTGCAGAGAGAGCCTCAGCCGGCTGCAGCGGTGGAGGCTGACTGAGGAGACACCAAAGCGAAGCTCCGTCCACCACGACGCACAGCGCCGGCACCAAGCTCCCTGAAGTGGAACAAGAGCTTTGGTTTCGCTCGAGGGGGAACGAGCCGGGCACCGAAAGAAATAATGCCTGTGTGTCGCTGTTTATTCACTTGAGGATGTACTGTTTACGCTGGCTAACCACATAGAGCAACAGAGACGAGGACCCGGACTTGATACTGTATTTAATACCGCTGCCATTCCGCCTGTTTGGGTCGGCAGGGAGACACACCACGGCGGTCAGCACCTGGAAGAGGAAAGAAAAAGAGAAACGAGGGACGACTTTTTAAAATATCCGTGAGTAAAGTATTTTACTTTGGTGTTCCCAGTTGTTTTTGTTCACGTTGTAGCCTCATGTAGCCCCAGCTGTGTGAGTGAAGGCAGGTTGTTCAAACAGAGACAAGTTCTGCTGACAATGCTGCTGACTATAATCCAAATACAACCCAAAAGGAGCTGAATTGTTCAGGATGATTTTATTTATCTACATATCCAAGTTATTGTTATTTTTGAAACCCTCCTGCTCTTCAGTCTGGGTAATTCCTCCCCATGCTGTTTGAATAACTTCTGCCTTTTCCATAAGGAGCACCTGGAGTCAGAATGAAGCATGTGGGCGATGGAGGTGTTGAGTGTCCAGATGCACACAACAACACACAACAAAGTGTTCACATGAAGCTATTTATTATGCCGTAGGAAAACAATCTCTGCAGGGTTGAGCCCAAATTAAAGGTGTCCTACACTCCACAGCCTTGAAAGGAGACACTTTGAAATGCATTTACACTGAAGTGGGTTTTGAGGTCTGGCTGCTTTTAAACAGGAGCTCAAAGGAATCCATGGAAATATTTTGTGAAAGAACAGAGCTCTCCTGCAAGGGCAGAGGCAGGTCCCTTTTATTTTTTTGTTGTTTTTTGGGGAGTGCATCTTTAGGTTAGCAGAACAGGAGGCATCTAACACACCACTTACCACACAAGTAGACCCACAGGAATTATCTAATCAGAGATATGCAAATTTCCCAAACTCTAATTTTGCGGCTTCGCTGCGGTTGAATGTTTAGTATAATGCTATCATCTGACTGTGCTGGTGACAGTCAGTTTGTGCACTGTGGCTTCAGGCACGCATATTCTTGTTTGATCTTATTGATTTGGCTTTTGCAGGGCTGTGTTTGGATGATGCACAGAGAGCATGGGCTATTATTAAGACATTATTCAATTAGGAATATTGCTTCCGTTTTTTTTCCCTTCTTGAAGTTTGTGACTTTCTTCTCAATGACAGCAATTAGCCGAGTGGTGGCAGATAGAATGGAGTCTGCCGGAGGAAAATACAACCTTTAAAAGTGTGTCTGCTGTCACTAAATCCCCCTGCTGCTTTGGCGTCTGTTCATTTTTAATGCAGGTCCATTCAGAGACACTTAGACACAACATCATACTATTTTAAGGCTGGTTTCTAATTTAAAGACGCTAAGTATGCCACTACAGTATTCAAGACTGCTGGAGATTTAAAGCGTGAACCTATGGACCAGTTTCTGCTTCTAAAAATACAGAAACTAATTTCTTCTTGCTTCGGTCATTCCTGAATTTGACACAAATTAGAATCACATGTCGTGGTACTTTGAGAGAAGCATCAGCGATGTAAACAGCATGAGATACTGTAACATGACAGATGTACGGTTCCAACATGTGGCTCAGAGGCTGAAAAAAAGAGAAGGTCAACAATACAAGAAAAGAACGCAGTAATGATTTTCTCTACAGAAAAAAAAAATGCTTGAAATGCTCAAAGTTTTCCTGTGATGCATGCGTTGGCTCCTGACCCCCAGGTTGACTTACATACTATGTGCTGTATGTATGTGTGAAAGTGAGAGTGGGATATGCACAGGGGAAAGGAGCCTACTCAGTGTTTTTTTTTTTTTTTTTTTTTTGCTTCAAGCACAATTTCATTCACTTTCTTTGAAGAGCTGTGAGTTGAGCACGTATATCTCCAACTGGTATGTCACATATGCTGCACTGTAGTTGTACTATATCCTTTGCAACATGGATTCAATCAATATACAGTTTTTGCTACGATGCAAAGAAATTCCAGTAGATTCAGCAAAATCATTTTGGCTTTTTGTTTATATACACAAACTGCTCTCTTGACTTTTTGTTAAGTGTTTTCTTTTTCTTTTCTTTTTTTTTTGAACGGCAACTAGTAAATAAAGGCAGGCACAATATTTAATTTGAGTTAATGAATTTGAGGCTGTTTGACTCAAGGGTGCTTTGCATATGTTACCATGCAAAAAGTAATAAATGTCAGTTCAAATTTACAGAGCTAAGTACTTCTTTGAATCTTAGGGTCCTGACACATCAAGCCAAATGTTGGCCATTGGTCAGTGTTGGGCTGTCCATGAGCATCTGTCGCCCTAGTTTTTGCGGTGTGCCCCACACCATCAGCACTAGTCTGATTTCTTTTGGCCAATTAAGTATGCTGAATCGGTGTTGTAGCCGGTGGAACCTGTCAGTGAGTGAAATCACTCTGATTGGCAGTTCAGCTCAGTGCACAAGAGGAGAAATGGAAGTGAAGAAAGCAAACAGCTGTCAAGAGGGCATGAGATCAAAACAAACTTGTTATTTAAAGAGTTTTTTGTAATTTCTCGTGTTATTGTTCGCTAGTAGACGGTAGGCTTAATATCCATTGTTCTTTCAATGTCGGGTTGCGTTGTTAATGTGCTACCTGGCTAGCTAGTGTCTTACAGTTGCCCTTTTTCAATGACAAATACAAACCAGGCTCCCGGGAATACTGCTCAGCCGTGCAGCCAGTTTTTCCCAGTGGCCACTCATGGTATTGCAGCGAGAAAATCCGCTGCTGCCAAAAAAGCATTCTCCTCATAGGCCACCATTATAACAGAGGCATCTATAAAATGGCAAACAAGGTCAAATATGAGTCTTTATATTATGATTTTTTGATATATAGAGGTTTTAAATTTTTTAATCTTTCCTGGAGCAGAAAAAGTGATTTAAAAATCCCCACGTGAGCAACTCCATTGGTGCCATCTTGGTATCCTGTGTCTAGTTATTATTATAAATCCATGATACAGACTACTGCCACCTGCTGGTATGGAGAGCTATTTTCTCTCACTCAGGTGCAGAATGTACATGCTGGTTGGCTGCTCTTTGTGGTGTGTTCAGATGTAACTTTTTGGTTGAGACACAGGAAACCTGAGGCGACGCAGCATTCAGCCTTTATCACCACTAGTTCTTTGATGTCAGTTTGGTGTGTCTGGGCCTGTATGACTGTAAATCAGTGTTAAAATCATGTAACCTACGTCACAGTCTAATGCTGCCATGGTTTCCTGTTAGTATTACACAGTGCAGCGTCCATTAAGACTTAATGATGGAAGTCTAACTTGAAGGCATGCTTGTGATTTCAAATGGGCTATAATTTGCCATAATGTTAATCTAGATATATATTTCATGAGACCTAATGTGCTTAAACGATTTTCATATCAGCCCACTCCACCGCTTAGTTTAATTTCCGGAGATCATCTGAAAATGCTTCATCTCACCAGGAGATGTATAGTTAAAGTCGCCAGGCACAGTTCTAATCAAGAGGAGCTTCACCTGCATATCAGGGGAATAGATGGAGGGAACGAACAGCTGTGCCTGTTTCACTTGGCACGCGTTAGAGGTTACTCCTATCCTTATCAGATGTAAATCAGTTATTTGCTTGCAATACATGCCTTAAAATGTTTGTAAATCCAATTGGGGGCAGGTGCAAGACGAAATGCAAATGAGTAGATTGGCTAACCTTGATGGAAATTGAATATATCTTGAAGTTACAGCTGTCCCATCTTCTTAAATGAAATGATTATTGACATGGGCCAACAGACATGGATTTAGAGTATGGCTAATTGAAAATGACAACTCTGGTGAAGGCGAACCCTCCGAGGCCCTTGGGACACTTGAGAAAAATGCATACCAGCATTGACAAGGGAGAGGCTAGGGATAGAAACTGTCTCACGGAGACAATCGCACCCAAGGGAGTCCTATTTTCACTGACAAATCTGAAACCAATAAATGGAAAGGGGACAAAAATGTCTTGCAGATAGCACTGCGTACTCAACGTGTCCCCGTTGTCTGTTTTTCATATGATGTTGGGGAATATATTCAAAGACGGTGATATGGTATCACACTGCACAGGCTGTATAAAGAGTACTGAGTCAGTATACAGAGCACTATGTGCGTTGACAAAAGTGAAAGCTAGGAAGTGTTCGGAAATTGCTGGGCATCCTGAAATCTGTAAACAACATATTTTTCACTGTCCAGAGAATGCAATGGTGTAATTTTGCTCACCAAACACAACAGTGACTAAGAATGTATGTCCTGGGCATGTTTCCCTGGTAAGATTTGAGATGACATGCATTTGTTAGATTAAAGACATTCTTTTTAAGAAATGTTGGTAATGTTGACAGTGGCAAACCCTTCCTTGGCTGCCTTCCTATCTAGCACTTTGTTTGAGGCCCACTGGTCTTGCAGAGCCTGGAAGACAAACGTCCCTCAGGACCCATCTGACAACTTAATTTATATAATTGCTCAGAAGCATCTGCGTAAGAAAAGACTGACTTTCAGCACCCTCCTCCACTTGTCACTGTTATGAATGACTTGGATTTGATGTCCAATGAGTCAAACAGACAATCTCGAGTCACACTGATGTTGTCATGCCGAAGCATGTGTGAACTACAAAAGAGGCACTGTTAATTTGATTACAGTGTTGCATCCTTCTTATGGAAAACAGTTTCAGTCTCATATCTTCATCTTGCATTTTTTTGTTAGCGCTCTGATCTTGCTCTAGTGATGCAGCCAGCAGATTGTACAATAAATCCTTGCACTATGACAAATGTGTACATATGTTGAGCAGTAATCTAATTATCATGAGTGAGATGACAGCATCATTGTGTGGGCCTTCTTTCCCTTCTTTCTTGGTTTTTGCAGCTGATCTAAATGGCTGAAATAACTTGTTTTGGTAGCTAATATGTCTCACAGCCTCAGGTTGGTTAATTATGCAGCCCCTTTATCTGTTTGTCTTTGTGCTGTCCTCATTGTGTTAACTTCGAGCAAGTCATCTGCAGATACCTGCAGGGCTCCTCTGAGCCACAGCTTAAATGGGTGGTTGTGAAAATGTTAAAGGTTATTAATTGCATGTATGGAATGAAGGTGTGTGATTTGTTGTTACTGGAATCTGAATTAAGACAAACCTTTAACTGAAAATACGTGCCCCTTATTTGTTAAGATATTAAAATCTGGCCGTTATCAGGACAACATAGCAAC